TCATTGTTTAAAAATATTTAAAACATTCACTGCACCAGTTGGTAATTTATTTTAAGCTGTCCCTTCTTTCTCTCCACTGCAATAGTTCTCCTCCCACTGCTACAACAGAAATATGAACATAGCTGCCATGACCTTTTCACTGCTGAGATCAGCAACTGGTGCAGGTTTCAAAATAGCCCTTGTGGAAGGATGTACAGGTGAAACACACATCTGTTCTGTAGTCTATTGCGTGGTCCTACAGGCAGCTGTGGTAGCAGAGCTGAAGAGATGCCTAAGAGGGCAAGGCAAGAACTCTGGGGGATGACTTTGTTCCAGAAGGTGTTGGGCTGGGGGCCCACACAGTGCCCTCAGGGACCTGCAGCTGATTTTGGTGAGCACAGAGCGTAGACAGCTCTCCTCGCACCCATAATGCAGCTCAGCTGAGGAAAATGCCTAAACTGAAGGGGCTGTTAGTAGAGCAGAAGCCTAGGCATATTGTCTTGCCCTGATGCGTTTCACCTTGGCAGGTATAGCTGTGTTAACAACAAAAGCCTGCCTTAAAATCCTTTTAACTAGCCTGACAGATGGCCGACGTAGAGTGTTACAGAGCATTATAAAATTGAATGCTCTTGAACGTGTTCCAGGAAAAACTTAAGGGTAATCCAGTTACGTAGGCTGCTTATTTTTGTTTGTGTTTTTAATTTTTGTGTTTTCTTGGCAGATTCTGTCTTTTGCTAGAGCACATTTAGTTTCTTCTTTTACAAACCCTCCTTTGTCTTCATAAGTTGTTTGCAGGATCGTATCAATAGGATGAGGTATATTTGTTAGCCTTTTGTTGCCCAAGGGCAGCCAGACTGAAAAAAAAATTTCTGTATAGACTCAACCAAGAGCATGTCTTAGGTGTTTCTGGTTGCATAGGAAGACTTGGCCTAATATCCTGAGCAGTCTTTTATTTGCTACTTTTTATTCTCCCTCTCCCCAAGTAAAACTGACTGTATTAATCCTGGTCTCAAAACACAATCAAAATGTAGCAAACCAACAACCCAGCTACTGTTAAGAAACTGCTACTAAGTCTCCATCCTTTTACTGAGAGTTTAGGTGTGTTTTGAGCCAGAGAGATTTGGAGTAGCCAGCCAGTAGCTGCTGGTGTTCAGTGCAGTTAGGGTTTTTTTGAGGTGGTTTTATCCATCAGATAAAAACAGCCTCTGCTGTGGTGCCATTAATCACTCTTTC